GCCGTTCTTTGTCTCTAAGAGTCGAGGTAGATGTTTGTAATCTCTTTCCAACTATTTTAAGACAATGCCATTTGATAAGAATTGAAGTTTCTCTGCAGTTCCACTCTTGTTAGCGGTTAGATCTCGATTGAAAGCATAGTGCTAGGGACACCCCGTCTACAACTAAATCGACAAAACGACACGAATTATAAAGACGTTTTGTTCTCGTTCAATAGAAATAAAACTCCCGTTCTACTATCAGACACTCAATATCTTCCCATTTAATAATGACATTTAAATTATTAAAGTGATTGCTCCGTGTTTACTCTGGTAATAGCTTAAATGATCGTAATTCATTGATGCTATCTCGTTCGTCTCGTCATGGCAAAAAGTCAAATACTAATAACACACTAGCGAGGATCAATATTTCCAACACGCTATCAACAAATTGGGAATATTTTCGTTCATAGGATTCCATCATGAAATATCATAATGGCGACCCGCACTAATTGCATTAGCAAGGGTCGCGCAGCCTTCCAACTCAAATTATGTCCCTCATATTTTCGTAAAACATTTACATATAGTGAAATTTTGCAAAAAATCATTTTCCCTTTTTTGTATCAAAAATTGATTAAGAATCTATCTACAACGTAATATTTAGTAGTATTTATTATGTAAAAAGATGTACGTACAACACGGGAATATTTCAAAGAATTTTGTCAAAATATGTACATGCAAGAAACTACAAAACCATGAAGCAATATTTATCTTTAAAAAAATGTAGAAAATTTAGGACCCGAGTTTAATAACATTCGTGACTTTGAATAAAAAGATATAACGGGCACTGAAAGAATAACGACCGGTGGTGAAACCGTGCTCAACCGAAATAATGTGTGAGTGGAACGTATTCATTTTAGAGTAATAAATCAGATTAGATACACTTTAGTTGATGTTTTTTTACGATAATTGAGAATTTCGGATATTATCTGCAACTGTCTACAAATTCTGACATTCGGTAATAGAGACATGTTTTAAAATTTTTATTTCACTTTAGGTTCAATTATGGTGGATGCGCCGGGATAATTTGTATCAAGTAAATAAATATTCCACGTATTTAATTATTATTGTTTTTTATTATTTTGTTACGACAACAAAATGAAACAGAATAAACAAATTCCATCTTACGTGTGACCATTTGTGTCAATATTGTTTATTTTACCATGAATTAAGGACAATCAGTTTGTTAACATTGTGAAGCTATATTTCACAACTTTTACAATGGTATTTTTCAGAAAATTTAATACTAAAGTAATTGGGTTTAAATTATTTATTTACAAATTGGTTTCGATTTTCAGATTTCCATTTCATACACTAGGTTTTCTAAACTTATTATTTGAATATATCCAACAAATTGAAAACACACCCACGCCAAGCCTGGAGTAATTCTTTTAATTTTTTGTCTTCAACCGCAAAGCGTTCTCCTACAAAAAAAGCTTAACAGAAAGAAATTTTTGTTACGTATTTTAATCTACAGAATTTTGTAGAAAACTATTTTTTCAGATCTTCATCCTTTAACAAGGTATTTGTAAAAAACTAAAACACCCCGTCTTCTTTGCTGTTTGTGGGCTTGCTCTGACGTTCCATCAATCCTTGTGAATTTCCAGTATGTTTAACAGAATGACTAATCGAATACCTGTGTCAAAAATCAATCTTGGTGGATTTTTGCTGGCTATTATACAAATTTATATCTAAATTTTTGACTGCCACTTACGGAATTATTTTGACAATTGATTCAGTATACGTTTAAAATTTTTCTTATTCTTTTCAACTGCTTCCGGAGAAATCTGAAATTGTTTAAAAGTACGTTTTCTCAATTTTTACTAAAGTCAATTGAATTCAGCTTCTGCTTTAAAACTGATGATTAATAAATAAACTTTTGTGAGTATTTTAAAAATTCCACGTTGATGGTAAAGTCCTCTAAAAGTATTTAGTTTGCTATTTCAGAAATTATTTCTCGAATAAAATCTCCAACAGACGGTAGACAGAAAAAAAAAAAAGGAAACCTTCAGTGTTGTATATTACAAGCTATGCAACGCCAAGAATAGTACATTATGGAACTAGTGGATGAAGTTGAATTTCAACGGCGAGAGTGATTTTTTCACACGAGCGAGTGCAACGAGCGAGTGCGAAAAAGAAACTCGAGCCGTTGAAATTTCTTCATCCGCGAGTTGCATATACTATTTTTTCTAAGAAATTAGGAAATAAATGTTTGTTTATGGTAGGTATTTTATTTTTGAAATACATTAACTGTAATAGAACAATTTGTGCAATTATCACCAATAATATTTACACTTTTATCGTAAGTATTATTTGAACTTGTATCTTTGTTTAAATTTAGTTGGCTGCTTCCTGTATCAATAACTGCACTTGTTGAAGTTGATGGTTTATCTATAAACAACCTGTTTGCAATATCTTTTCTTGCAGATAACGATTCGTCGATGTATCCTTCAGCTACGGTGGATGATTTCCACCCACCGTGTCTTTTTAACATCATAATATCGCCGCCTGCATTCACTAATAAAGTAAAAAAATATGCACCAAAAACGTCTTCATTAAATGAACGGCATTGTTTTCTCTCTCTCCACTTCATAAATTTTCGGTATGTTAGCTCATAAAACTTTTTAGACTTTTCGGGTATCAGATTCGAAAATGCCGCATTGGCAGCATTCAAAATTTCTTCAGAAACTTCGTCAGTCTCACTCATGTTCATTGTTTTCACTTGTGTAAACTAGCAGTATTAAACGTCAAACACTAACGGGTCGTCCAGCCTAGGCGTCATGATTTTCGAAGCGCGCGAAGCGGACGGTGCGGTCGGTGCAGGCGATACGCGACACGTTTCGCTAGCTGCGAAACGCTCAGGCTGGACGACCCGTTAAAATCGTAGACGGCCGAGTATTTTTCCACTAGAGGGTGAATAGTTATTTACATTATGAGTGCGGTAGGTAACATTTTGCAGGTTGAGGTCCTAATTTGCCACCCGACGCGAAGCGGAGGGTGGCATGGGACCGAAACCTGCAAAATGCCTAACGCACGAAAATTGTATTAAATTTTTTCGCCGACATTGATTTTATTTTAAAAAATATTTGTTTTTAAAAATATTTTTCGAAATGGAAATAATGGAGTGACAGCTTATAGACTTGACGTTTACTGAAGGAATCTATAATACCGGCAGCCACGAGATGGCGCCATGTGATTTTTTTTTAATAATTAATTTTTTCTCATTCAAAAGGTTTGATCCAACAAAGCATGATGTAAAGTAGTATTCTAGTATGTTTTCTTTTATTATTTATACAGAACTTTTTTTATTAGAGCTTCTAGAGGCTAATGCATGTTGAATTACTTTGGCACCCAAAGGCGGTAAAGCAACGGTAAATTGATATTTGGTGCGTAAAGTCATTGCTACGCGGCATGTCAAAGGTGTATGAATGTTTTGTTTACATGTCAGGAGGCGAAAAATGAAATTTCATCCACTGCCAGCGATAGGAAAATGACAAACTTCAACCTTAATGAGTAGAAAAAATATATAAATAAGACGTTCGTACTACAACTCTGTTACAATTTTCTTTCTAGGTATCACTTGGAAAGTAAAAGCAACAATTCTTATCCAGTGGCAACACGCACTGAAACAATTTATGGAAGAGCTTATTTTCATTCGTTTCATTAAGCTCAAAATAAAACTACCTAAAGTAGGTAATTGTAAAAAATTAACAAAAATAAATTAAATTTTAAGACAGGTTATTTTCGTTTTGTAATAAACGTATTAAAAGATATCTGAAGTGTTATGTTGCCGCATTAAAATATCCGTGAAATGAAAACAGCTCGTTGTTAAAATCCATTTCAGAAGCAATTATGAAAATTATGAAAAGAATTGCACCTAATTCCTCCGCTATCACCGCATCGATAAATTATTTTGAGTCTATTTAGTCGCGGAATACGATCTCTCGAGACCAATTAGAAGCAGCGAACGAACAAAATACACATTATATCTTCGGATTAATTTTCTTTTTGAGATGCACTTACGAATCAAGGATGTCCTTTATAGGGCAATTCCCATGAAATGTTTCCTTTTAATTGCAAAAAGATAATCGTTTTTCAAGCTTCCAACAAATGAAATTATATGAAAAAGTGACCGTAGTCACAAAAACCCGGCCAAGTTTGCTTTCACTTAATAATAAATTAATTAGCAAAAAGTGTAGCGGTCCCTTTTTTGTGCATAAAAGGCAATCCGTCATGCCCTAACAAGTGTATATGAGTTTGAGCTGCTATAGTAATGTCGCAATAAAGCAAAATGTGTGCCTCATAGATCATAATAAAGCTCGGCTGGTCCAATTACGGTCGAAATACAAAGAGTCGTAAATAGCTTATAAAACTTACATGGATCAGGGCCAAAAGCGGTTTAAACTAGTAAACAGGCTCCTTCTCGATAAGAGTAAGGACCCATTCTGATAATAAAACTGGTTAAAACGTGAACATATTACCCTCATGCGTTATTTGCGTTTAATGTTTATTTCATTTTCTCCCCCTCATGTGATAATACTGTTCTATCTAAGGTTTCGCATGCTGACAGTGTTTTAAACTCCCACGCAGAATAACACGTGTTTAATTAAAAAACTTTTGAGGTAGGTAAATTTCATGTTCAGCTGTGCAATAATTTTAACTGGTATTTATTTAATATTTAATTCTCGACTACACATCTGCCGATTTTCACAACAGCACTTGAATTGTTCTTTTGTTTTGTCTGCAACTCCAGCAAACTTCGATATCTGCTCTGATCTAAACTTTCTTCGATCTGCAGTATTTCGCTGTAGTATTATATATTGTTTCGTTTTTGTTGAGAAACACTTTCGAGAATAAAATTATTTTGAAAATTTAATATAGTCTTACATTTTTCGTTGTTGTGTCAAACAATATCTAAATTATAAGAATGAATTTTTCATTACCGGGACGAAAAAATTACTCACCGCTGCTCCCTTGCGCTTCTCCGAAACCTGAAAAAATATTTTTCATTAGAATATTTTTATTAAGGTTACAAAGTAATTTTCAAAGCAAAGTATTACTTTTGTTTTTGCGGTATTTATTTGCGAAGCAATTCTAAGAACATCTCGTAGGTTGCTAATAATTAAATTTAAGATTAAAAAAGCGGCAGTACTCAAGTTTGAAATTAAATTTTAAAGAATTTCATTTGAAATCTTGTTTGTTTCAAAGAAAAAGGTAAGTGTTAAAAAAGCAAACGATAACGTGTGCGTAAATCTCAACTAAGGATAAAAAGAAAAAGGTAAGTAAAATCTCCAGTGGAAGGGTAAGGTAAGGGAGACCGAAGAAAATAAGAGGATTTACCCCAATCGGCTGAAAGGTAGATTGGGGTCATCGTCGGAGGGACATTTTGTTGTGCATATGTGTTTACAGGATAACGTTTAAAATCTGCACAAAGGGAAATAATTCCCTCGTGAAATGTAGTTAAATGTTTTCAACTAAACGTCAGAAAACAGTTATCCACGCATTGTTATGTGAATCTAAATGCTTTCTGCTTTTTAATGTCATCACAGTTTCCGTTCTCAACTTACATTAACTTTCAAAATGCGAACTGCAAGCTTTATTTTGTTTTTAGCGGTCTAAATTAAAATCGTTTTCTGAAAAACGAAAAATATTAATATTTTTGTAAAATACAATTGGCGATGATGTTTTTGCTACAACTATAATTGTTACCGAAGGAGGTTGGTGTCTGACATCAAACGACTTTAATGTAGAGTAAACAGGGTAGTTTATACTTCACCCTGTTGAGACATTGATCCGTACACAAAAACCTTAATCGACATTTTGCGGTATCTCAATCAATCAAAACATGACACTTACATTGCTTAAGCTGAAAACTTCACTTTCACATCAACGAAAATGTATTACCGAACGATAAGTGCAGCACACAAAAAGAAGAATAAGACTGAGTTACCAAGTATATGGAAATAACATGTCGCAAACTTTTAAGACGAAAAATAAAGGACACTGAAAAATAAACAACAAAGGACACGCTGAGCTTAAATTTTCAATACTTTGATATTTATAGAACATAGAATTATTATAGAAATTTTGTTATTGAAGATGTAAGTAAGTAAATTCACATTTTTTTTTATGTTACAGTACATCAACATATATTTCCATATATGTATGAACGTCAAAATATCAATCACTTTGCAGTCGTCAATTGATTGGAAGTATTCCACACAGCAATTTCTTATAGAATACAATATTATTATTTGTACAATTTCCATAAGTCCACTCTCCAATAAACTTGGATTACTTTCCACAAAATTTCTAGATGATTTGATGGATTTATGTGTATAATTCTGAAATAAGTAAAATACGAGTAAAATAAACATGAACAAAAAAAATAGATTTTATTAATTTTATACCAAAAAACTTTTAAAATTTTGTTAGTTTTGTGAATAGCGTTTGTTCTAATAATACAAACATAGTTATAAATTCGTCTGAAGTCATACTCTTAGCAAAAGTTGACAAAATGCGATTTGTCACTGTTGCCATTAGGAAATTTGAGGGATTAAAACGTACTTTAAAATTGTTGGTTACTATGCAGATGGAATTGGCATGTCGTTTATCATGTTTATTCTCGCAAAATGCGGTCGTTGCAGTGTTTGTAATATTAAACTACTGTAATTACTCAGAAAACTAACTAATAAATTCGTCCAACAGCTTAAATAGTAGAGCTAGTTCATGCCCTAATTTGTAGGTGGAGTGGTGGTTAGAAGTACATTTGGACCGTACTTCAAAGTCACTGAGAATTATTACCAGTATTAATATTAATATCCAAAGGTCGTTGATAATTATAAAATAACGTTATCGCCGTTTTCTTGGAGAGGATTATTCGAGACACAAAATAAGTTTAATAATAATTTTCCATAATGTATAAACAGTGTTTAACAACACCGGAGATTTTAAACTGGCTGTTCTGATTACTTTTATAATATATTATAAGAGTTCGTAAGTTGTATTACAGGTGACTCGTAAATGGTTTTAGTACGTTTTCCAAGAGCTTTGTAAAACACTGTTATCGATCTGAGTAATAACTGAGGGACTGCAATTTATTTAATCCTATTGTACTAGTGTTACAGGGTAATTTAAAACTTAACCTGCTTTTCATCTTTATATAGGTACTACGTTTGTAAGCTTTGTTAATGTCCAAGGTGGCTCATTTCTCTGAAGCATATCTTTATTTCCATGTTTATCTAAAAGTCAGACCACACTGACTGAGCCCAAGGTGAGGAAATTTGCAGCCCAACGACAAGTATCGAAGATCACCATAACGTCAACAAAAAATACCCGCTGCCAAGAAACCCGAAAAGTAGGAAGGACAGAGATATATTTCTGTTTCAAATATTTTCATACCGGTAACTACTCGTGTTATTTTTTTTGACCAAAGTTATTTTGATTTTGCGTACATCATTCATTAGATGTAAGTAGGTCAATTTGACTCGGCTTTTTGGAAACCATTCCACACGTAAGTCGGTGCCAGAGAAATTCAAATGTCAAGTTTCGGAAATGCCGCATCACACAGGATGAAACGTGCTTAGTGCTGCGATTGAAACTAAAAAAAGAGAAAGTCACCAGCAACTCCGGCAATATAAAAGTGGTGAGTGCAATAAACACACCGCAGACATGAATTCTTACTCAAAGGATACGACCACCAATTTACCTCGGTCTCCGATAAAGATCAAAGTGAAGAAGAACGTCGTGAATAAAGGAAACAATAAACATTTGATAAATGGAAGAGTTCACGCAACGGAATGCGCCGCCGGATTCTCGAGTAATATCGACGTCATGCGCCTCCAACGTCACTCAATCACACGTGCTAGGAAAATGTGTTACCGGAAGACACGTGAACGGAATGCTCGTGGAGGAAACAAAGCCGGATACACCGCAACCTGTTAGGTTTCGTCACCCCTTTCGAAATTATGCCGAGTAGAATGGGTGCTGTAGGGGAGGCCTTATTGTTTGAGGAAACGATGGCGAAACGACTAATTTTACAACTACGGTAAACATCCGCACGAAGAACACTCATAATTTCAATTTTTTAACACGCAATTAATTCAACAAAGAGAAAAATAATGAAACTCGAATTGGAATAGTCGAAAGTAGAGCCCTGTATTCTTTCAAAACCTTTATTTTTTCAAAAGAATTTTAATTGTTGTTTCGGGTTAGCTCGACGGCAAGAAATGTTGTGGAAACTTTATTCTTGTTTATGAATGACTGAAGCATTTCTCCTGGTTCTTCTCATTCTGGATATTTTTGTGTTTCTGCTGTGACGTTTCACCAAGTGTTTGTTAATCAAATGGGTTATGAAAAAGTAGTCAAAAAGTGTCGTGAACACGATTTGCCAATTTTTAAAAGTAATGTATGATTAGTTGAAACATTGAACTTCGATCACTAATTCACTGTACATGTTTGTAGTGAACTTGAACATGTGTATAATGCAGACTATGTTATCTCTTACATCACCACAGTACGAGAACATAATTATTATAACTAATCTTAATGCGAATCAGTTTTACATCCGTTCATTTACGACTCTTAACGACTCTTATCGAATAGGACTCAAGATTTTAACTGAAATCGTTTTTATTAGGTATGCATTCGTTTTATCGAGACTAACTTTTATTTCAAAATTCTTTTTTATCATCTCTCCTTATCACCTGAAATTCGAAAAGTGTACCTATATATAATTCAGAAATATTCAGTGAAATCTATTAATTTTGTTAAAACATGTGGACTAAACTAAAAAAGAAACAAATTTTGGTCCAAATATGTAAAAGAAGGTTAATTTTTCCCTTCTCAGGTTCTAAACAAATTTTGTAGTAATTTAATTTTTCTAAAATACCTTAAATGCAACCAATATTATTAATTTAAGCAAATGTATCTTACATTTACAGTTTTTTGAAATATGTCTTTTTATATGTACAAATAGTAGCATCCTATTTTACTGGGATATGATAATAATATAATAATCTCGTACCCTGCAAAAGGCTTCGATCATGAGACTTTACTTTCTAGGTTTAATATTAACTCGCTGAGTACAAGAAGAATAATATTGCTGGTTCGATTTTTGTATAATTTAGTTAATTATAAAATTAACTGTTCATCACTTTTAAATGAAGTAAATTTTGCTATTCCGCGTCAGAGCACACGGCATGTTTATACTTTTTATAGTTCGTTCAATAGAACCAATGCTATGTATAAATCCCCCATATCTTTAATGTGTAATTACTATAACCAAATATGTAGGAAGTTTGATATTAATTTTGACAAGGCGAGTTCGTTAAGCCGTGCTGTTATTGAAGAATTTGGTCTTTAAATTTAGGAAGTTTTATTTAATTTTGGTGCAGTTTAGCCAGGTTTCTCTTTATTTTTTTTTTCTTTTTTATAATAATTTCTAAATTAAGTAACTTATGTACTCTCTTAATCATATATAGTTTAATTTTATTATTTCCTGTAAGTGGGTGTAAAACCTGTTGGAAATAAAGTTTATTTATTTATTTATTTATTTATTTATTTATTTATTTATTTATTTATTTATTTATTTATTTATTTATTTATTTATTTATTTAATCTCGTTAAAATTGAATAAATATAGTAAATCAGCCTTTGATCACAACCGTTCGTACCCACATTGTGTAAGGTAATAAACTTAAGTAGTTTATGTATAGACCCAATTCTCATCAAAGTTTAGCAAATCTAGGGAGATGTCAGTGGCAAATTATCCATCTCGGATTCTAGTAGTTCCTTACACTAAATCTCTGGTTGACCTCTGACTTAAAGAGGCCTTAGTAAGTTAAACAAAGACCTATCAAGCAACTTGTACACAAAGACTGCTTCTGTACATTTGCACAACATCTAGTTTCTCATGTTCTTACAACTTTGACCAACTTCGGTTAGGCAACATTAAGTTCTCTTCAAACGAAAAATATTTTATTTTAACAAT